TTCCGTCCATGCAATCACAGCATCTTCGTTACAAGCAAAGTCTTAAGAGACCACCAAAAGGCCAGAAGGGTAGACATCTGCCAAACTGTTGGCAGGAAGGTGTTCCACAGGGTAGGGGCAGCCATGGAAATGACAGGCATCCAAGGTCCTACTTGTTGACATGATTTCAGGGAGGGGTCCTGGATAGGATGTCCACCCTATCTGATGTGATGAATTGGGTGGATATTAAGGAAAAGTGTCTTCTGACCAAGGCTTATTGAGACACTTAACAAACACACGTTAGTCCCAAAAGCCTTTTTTCTTTATTTCAGCAGCTGTGAATTTTAGTCATTCACAGCCCATAATGAGTCTCGAACAGTTTGTAAAGGGTCCCATGGAAGTCTGCCAAAGTCCTTCAGGATAAATCTGATAATCACACACCTTTATCTTCCTTGAAATGCTGCCAACAACTACATTTCCAATTAGTTATATAAAACCAAACTGAGTACAAATTCAACACAGAGCTTCAGGTTTCAAACTGACCAGTATGAACAAAGTTGCTTTCTGCAAAGGCTCATGTCCCTTTGCTCCTCCTTTATGTCTTATGGGAGGGCCAATCACCTCCAAGCCTTACTCCCGAGTCTCCCCTTTTGTCTTAACTGTTCTTGCCTTCTGGCAGCTCTGCACACACAAGCACTGGGAACAGCTCCCCTTGTTCTTCTGCCTTGCTGCTGTCAGATTCTGGAGGCCATGGACATAACACATAACTCCCGGATGGCCCTGGGCCCATCTCTGTATCGGATGCAGAACCCTCGTCCGAGTCCTTCGCAGACTCCCAGACTGGTCCATGTTCCTCCTCATTGTCCGACTCTGCTGCCGTCTCTGCAGGCTGCTGGCAGACCACAACAAAGTGATCCTAGGAATAGCCAGGTCATGTACCATGTAAGATTGGAAGTATGATTCTGTAGGAGAAGAGCAGGCAAATCCGGAAGGCAGAGTTAAATGAGTCATCAGCTTAGAATCGTTACAAATGGTCTGGTTCACTGATGTCAAACTCGATCGTGTCACATGACATATCACACAATTTTTTTTGCCTTTGCAGAGCCGGGGTGGGCGTGGCCTGTGCATGATGCATCCTGCCCGCGGGCTACCATTTTGACAGGCCTGGTCTAAATCCAACCTCTCTTGAATTCCATCCAGCAAAGAGCTCTTCCTAGTTACAACCAATTTAACCCAGAGAATTGCAGATCTTTCCAGAACTAAAATGGGAGATTCTTGCATAGCTTTCCTGTCCCCATTGAAACCCGCAAACCCTTTCAGATATGACACGAAAAACAAATCATACTTTGTTTTTTTTTAAAAAAAGATTGAGTTTACTGCAATAACGTGGCTTCTGCCTGTCACTTTAGTATGTTGGATTGGACCGACACAGTTTATTTGTATCCATATAGTTTACCAGTGTGCTTAAAAAAAAAAATAGATTGCAAAGTGCAGTAATTGTAAAAGTCCCATTCTATGACTCACCAGTCACAATTACTGGCTGGCACTTACTCTGCTACGTTCCCAAGTGGCGCAATTAGCGTGCAGCTTGCAGGTGAAGTGATTACTTTGAGAACACCAATGGAAGTCAACGAATTCTGAACATGCACATCATTTAATTAAATGCACAAGAACAAACCTGTTCCCCGAAGAATGTTAATATCCAAACCTCCTCTTGGTTCATTATTTCTGGAAGAGCATTTTGATTGCTCTTTCCTTTGATGGATGCAGCCGGTATATTAAGCTACCTTCCCAAGGTCTTAGGATTGATTCCAAGCATATGTTTCTTCAGATGTACGAAAAACATATTAAAATTCAACAACTTTATAAGAGACTGGAAGCCATTTGTGGACTTTCCCATGTGTTAAATACAATAACAGATGGCTAACAGGGGAGTTTGAAGATTAGTGTAATGTTTGGGCTTACCTGTTGACTTCCTTTTTTAAAAAAAACATACATATTATTATACATATTATTTAGATGTTGGGTGGATTTGATTATTAGACAGCAACTTTAAATAAATAAGCAATAATAAACAATCGGGACACAGTGGCTCGGTGGCTAATACGCTGAGCTTGTCAATCAAAAAGGTCGGCAGGTCGAATCCCTAGTGCTGCGTAATGGAGTGAGCTCCTGTTACTTGTCCCAGCTTCTGCCAACCTAGCAGTTCAAAAGCATGTAAAAACGCAAGTAGAAAAATAGGGAACCCTTTGGTGGGAAGGGAACAGCGTTCCGTGCGCCCACTGGCATTTAGTCAGGCCAGCCACATGACCACGGAGACGTTTTCGGACAGCGCTGGCTTTGTAATGGAGATGAGCACCAGCCCCTAGAGCTGGAAACGACTAGCATGGATGTGTGAGGGGAACCTTTATCTTTAATAAAAAATATTAAATAAACAAATACTAATCTGGAATATTGGCTTATTTAATATAGTATTTTGTTTCAAAAGCTTACAACCATTCTTCATCAATTCTTTTTTCATCCCCGTAGGTTATTATGCACAGATTATTTTAATACTTCTGTTGTGTTGTAGACCTTACAGTAACTCTTCAACTCTTCTTGCAATAAGCTTATTGGAAAGCTTATAATTATTTGGAGACCCAATATGTAAGGGGAGAGGAATTTTCATTGAATTTACTTTTAAGCTTCCAGCCAGGAAGAATTGTTTATGTTCAATGCTATCTATTGATATTTGGGTCGTTCCCCCCCTCCATTTTTGTATACAATATTTTTTTGCTCATGGTTAGTGTTGGATATTCATTTTTCTGTTTTTCTGTTTTGTATTTTATTCTTGTTGGTAAAAGAAAATAAATCAAAAGATGTAATAAAATTCTAGCTGTGAAACCAGCAGGACACAGGTGCTTCAAAGAATTATTGGAGGAAGAAGGGTTGAAGACTTGTCCACAATGCAACTGAATTATATAGATAATCTGTGCATAATAACCTACAGGGATGAAAAAGAACTTATGAAAAGATTATTTTTCAGAAAAGTCACTACTGACGGATACTTGTTTTTCTTTTTGCCTAAGTCACTTTCTTTGAAAAAATTAAAGAACTGGCTTCTGACACAGATTATGCCTTTTTTAGTTTTATTCTGAATAGAAAATCTATATAAAATTAGTTATTTTTTCTTCAAGACTTGTAAGTACTGCAAATAAATTTAATAATGTATCCTTATGATCTATATTGACTGTTTCCTAGTATAATTTGATTGCTTATTGTACCCTATGACTATCATTAAGTATTGTACCTTATGATTCTTGACTCTTGATGAATGCATCTTTTCTTTTATGTACACTGAGAGCATTTGCACCAAGACAAATTCCTTGGGTGTCCAATCACACTTGGCCAATAAAGAATTCTATTCTATTCTAGTAGGCTGACAGCTCATTCAGGACTTTGAGTTTCTAATGGCAGGTGCTTGATTTATAATATCAATTCCTCCATCAGCTTGGGGAAGGGGTTCTTCTAAATTTGGGCTGTAAATGAGTTGTTAGGTTATAGGATAATAATATTATCTTTCTCTTCATAAGCCACAGTTTAATAACAGCTGAAGAGAAAAGCTTCATCTGTTATTCAGCTATTAGCTCATCTGAATAGCCTACACTGGGAAAATACACTATAAAAACTTGGCTTTTTGGTAAGCTCTGATAGTATTGTTTTGAGATAGCTATAACCTACCAAAATAGATGCTACATTCTTTCTCCTAGATCTGAAGACTTTCTCCTAAAGATTAGTTAAAAACTTGCTCTACCACATTTTTAAACTAGTTGGTAGGTCAGAGGATAACAATATTAGCTTTCTCTTCATAAGCCACAGTTTAATAACAGTTGAAGGCACAAGCCCAGTATAGTCTAGGCTTCCATTTCCTAGAAACCTAGTGTCAGGATTCCAGCAGTTACCCCCATTTAAATCATGAGTCTCGAGCCAAACTTCCAAAACTTCAAAAGAATTTATTGGGAGTTAACATGCCAGCACTGCCTGGGTGTAGCTGACTCTGAGACACATCACTCATTGTCACCCTTGACCCTGGTTTTCCCCCACCCCCTGGGTGTATTGTAATTCATATTCTCCAATGGGACACATCCATAGCCAAGAGTCATCAATCATGCTCTCCAGCTAGAATTTTGTGGTGGCAGAAACTTCAGCCACCTAGTTACTATCTTTGAAAAACTATTTATGGAATGCAGTTTTGGTTTGCAAGCTGCCACACAACTCCCCCCGTCCCTTTCTGTTGGCAACTCTAAAAAGACCATAGAAATATTTTATGCATTGACACCCAGCTTAATTGTGGGCTAATGTTTAGATCAACAACCTCTGATTAACACTGCCTGAACAAGCTGCGTCTCTGGACTGAAAAGATAAGCTGTTTTTTTTTTTTTATTAATTTCTTCCACTGGTTTAAGCTGTTTAATGATAGGGCATGTTTAGTGGCAAGATAAAGGGGTTCCAAAAGTGCTTTTTCAAAAAGAACTGGACTTTCTTTGTTTTTCCTTGAAGACCTTTCGCTTCTCAGCCAAGAAGCTTCTTCAGTTCTGACTCAATGGTAGAGGATGGAAAGATTTATATTCCTTGAAGTCCTCGGGTCATTAGCACTCTCTCTGAGAGTCATTGAGGCCACTTGGAGATTTATCTGTGCCCTCAGGGTCACCTGAAAAGTGCAAATGGGTGTGGAGCCTTCTTGGAACTGCTGAAAGGACTGTGTTGTAAACTGGAGATAGATGATGTCATATCCCTCCTCCTCTGTTGAGGGAGGGCTCTTCAATTTTGACATAGATTGTCCTCTTTGAACCCCTCTTTCAAACCAGAGGTCTTCTCTGTCCAAAATGTGGACTTTGCTGTCTTCAAAGAGCAGTCTTTGTCTTCTAAATGCGGATGGATTTCCGAATCTCGTCCTGATGAGTTTGTTCTCCTATGTTGTGCCATGTGTTTGTGAAGCTCCTCCATAAATGAATAGTTACCTCTTTCCCTATTCTTTTCAGTTTTACAGGTGATTCCAAGTTAGCTTCTAGTATGCGCTATGTAGAAACACAATCTATGCAAATTGGAGCATCATATATGATTCAGTTCAACTTGGTGATGGGCTGTGGCCAGCAATACACACCCCACATGGACAATCAGGTGAAACTGGAGTACTCCACTAATCATGGCCTTACTTGGCATCTGGTTCAAGAGGTAAGTCTGATTAAAGGAGATATTCCTTCATAGAAAACGTTTGTAATATATCTGTCTGTCTGTATGTATGTCTATCTATCTTCATCATCTATCTATATAATTTATCTCTGTCTGTCTTTCTGTCTGTCTGTCTGTCTGTCTATTTATCTATTTATCTATTCATCTATCTATCTATCTATCTATCTATCTATCTATCTATCTATCTATCTATCTCTATCACCTATCTCTATCATTTATCTGTCTGCCTTTCTGTTTCTCTGTCTCTCTGTATCTGTCTATCTATCTATCTATCTATCTATCTATCTATCTATCTATCTATCTACCATGCAATAGTGGAATAATAGAAAAAGCTGCATAAACATTTCACAAATTCATTTTAATTCAGAAATAGAGACTAATGGGGGAATTGTGAAACTGTAGAAATTGATTCATCCAGAAGTCAACATACACTTATAGGTTTAGCTCAAATGTAAAGTTAAATCATGGTTATTATCTTTTCAAATTTCTGGTTGGATAGAACATTCTTGGATTATGGTTATAAACAAATTAGAAATGTACATTTCTTATTTAGTGCTAACTCTTGTTTATTACTGTCTCCAAAAAAGGCACATTATAATGTCTATATTGTTGAACAAGTAAGTTTTCTTGATGATTTAGAGACACCATAGCCCCCAAAGTTAATAAATAAGAAGCAGGTTTGCTCTGATCCCAAATCCTGGTATCTGAAACATAAAATGTTTGTAAATAATTCTAAAATTAGCAATCCTTGCACAACATAGTGTTGCTTCAATGCATTTTCAAATATTTTATTTGTGCAGAAACATCAAGTGATTGCAGCAGGAAATTAAACAACGCTATAGTTCATTATAATGTCTTCATATTGATTTTCATATATTTGTGTTTGTATGTTTCCTTAAGGAATGCCTTCCAAGTATGCCCAGTTGCCAAGAATTTACACCAGCAAGTATCTACCACTCCAGTGAATATACAAAGTGGAGAAGAATCACTGTACTTTTACCCCAAAAAACATGGTAATAGTGTAATTACTTAGGTTTTTGAACATAGAAATATAGTCGTGTCTCAAGCTTGAATGCATATTACTTAGTAAATACATTGTTTGAAGCTAAAATAATTCCTTTTTCCCCTCTTGGTACAGACATTTGAATGCATCTCTTCCCTCTTATTTTTCTTCTGTTATTTATTTTTCTTCAAATGATGCCAATATTTTATGAGATATACCCAGGATGGAAAAAAATGAATAATTTTGGCAGATAAGCCAAAACTTTGGAAAGTTTTCAGGGTCTTATCATCCATAGCCATTTCAGCCAGACGTTGATGGGGATCAGAATTTAAATTCCTCTTGCCCTCTTCCCTTTTCCCTTTCTTTTGTGAAGGACTAAATGAATTCACAAAAGAAATCTGACCTTAAACCATGTGAATGGATTTTGTGACTGTGATGACCCGGGGGGGCGGGGGGGTGGCACAAAGGCAACACAGTCAAGTAAGTAAGAAGAGTCCCTTTAATACCTCCAACTTTGCCCCCATTGTCCAGGTTACCTTCGGCTAGAGAAAAAACTCTCCCAAGAACAGTCTTTATGTGGAGGAAATTCAATCTGAAAACAAAGTACATATAAATTGTAAATAAAAATCCACACAAACCACGGTGCAGCAATTAACTGGACAGGGCAGGATAATTTACAGACTTAAAAGGCCAGCAAAACACACACAGTTGGTAAGGCGCCAGGAACCCAGATAAGCCTTGACAATAATAGATAACTCAAGATTTGCTTCCAACAAGTTGCTTTGCGCAACCTCCCTTTTTAAACACAGTGTTCCCAGCTGCAGCTAATGAAGGGAATCAGGGCCCTTCCCTCCCCTGTAAGCCACACAACTCACGTTGCTCCCTTCTCCATTCCTCCCTGCATGCCCTAGGATGAAGAAGCGGTGGGCCTGGATCTTCTTCTGAATTCCCTCTGCCTTGCTCTACCTCTCCCCTGCTCTGCCCAGCCAGCCTTTGCCCTTCCCCAGTTTCTTCCACAGCCAACGGAGCCACACTCCCATTCCCTGTCAGCTCCTCGGTCTCCCCCTCTGAATCAGATTCCGACAGGGGCATGACAGTGACCTTGAAAAATCTTGCATGTTCAGAGAGACCCCATCTGTAAGTAATGCACATGCTTCAAATTCAGATGGGAACCAAACCCCAAAGGCAACTGGACTTTCTTTGAAGACATTTCGCTTCTCATCCAAGAAGCTTCTTCAGTTCTGAATGAATGGTGGAGAATGGAAGGTTCCATGCCCATTTGCACCATTCAAGTGACCTTGAGGGCCCAGATAAACATCCAAGTGGCCTCAACGACTCTCAGAAAGAGTGCTAACAACCAGATGAGCGCAAAGAATATAAATCCTTCCATCCTCCACTCTTCAGTCAGAACAGAAGAAGCTTCTTAGATGAGAAGCGAAACCTCTTCAAGGAAAAGCAAAGTCAAGTTGCCTTTTGAAGAAGCACCTTTGGGACAACCATGGCCTGGATGACTGAGAATCCTCACAGACATTTGGGATCCAAATATTTCTCTATCCTCCTTTCCCTGTACCCCAGGAGTTCAGATGTCCTTGGCACGAATTGTCATGAATACCTTGTTAGTTTTTCAGCAACATATGTACCTGCAGGACAACTGAGTCTGCCAGATTTTTGACTGTCCTTTTTATTATCAGAATCTGCCTTATTAGAAAATATACAGCATTTGGTAACTTGTCTTGGAACGTATCATCCAGATGCACCTGTTTTCTGGACTTTATTGTACATGACTTATATGTTTCTAACGCTGATGGAAATTAATTTCATTTTTATGGATTAACATAAGAACTGGCTTAATGAGATGCAAGCAGCTGCCAGTTGCTGCCTTCATCAACAAATCAACACCAAACGTCTGATCTGCTGGATAATTGGATAAACGTAATTAACAGTTAACTTGGAAGGTAGAAAAACATAATTTGATTGGCTCTCGGTCCTTTGGCCTCCTTAATAGTGTTTTAAAAAGGTAGCACTTACTCGAAATTTATGGGGAAAACATCGCTTGTGCTGTGCTTGAAGTGGAATTTGTTTGTTGTACTTAAAAAATGGAATGATTTAAGGCTGTGTGGTAACAAAAGCATGAGGAAAGCAGGAATATGACTTAATTGAATAGGAAGTAAAATACCCTACAGGTCTATATCTTATACAGGTAGTCCTCAACTTATGAACACAACCAAGCCCAAAATTTCTGTTGTTAAGTGAGACATTTGTTAAGTGAGGTTGGCATCATTTTACGAACTTTCTTGCAACCTTTGCTAAGTGAATCGCTGCAGTTAATAAGTTAGTAAGCCGGTTGTTAAGTGAACCTGGCTTCCCCATTTATTTTCCTTCTGACAAAGGGGATCCCATGACCTTGGGATCGTCGTAAATATGAAACAGCATCTGAAGCAGTGGTGGTATTCAGCCGGTTCGCACCGGTTCAGGCAAACCGGTAGCAAGGATTTGGTGTGGATCGCCGAACCAGTAGTAACTTCTGGCTGGCCACGCCCCCGACCTGGTCACCCGGTCTCCGCTCACTCGCCCCGCCCGCCTGACACTAGCTTACCCAGTCACTCCTTAAGGTATTTCTTTTTTTTCCCCTTCCCGACAATCATCTGTTCCTACGATCAGCTGTACCAGGATTCCCCTTGCTTACTTACTGCTTCGCCCATGAGGCTTCCCTGAGGCCCAGGAAGGCAAAAAATGGAGGGGGGGGTCAAGTTTTTTTTTTGCCTTCCTGGGCTCCAGGGAGGCACTAAATGAAGTGTGGGGGTGCTGCGCGCCCCCCTCAGACTCAGTTTTCTGCCTTCCTGAGCCCTAGGGAAGCCTTCTGGGAGCAAAAATGCCCCCACAGGAGGCTTGCCTGTGGCCCAGAAGGCCCCCCAAATGAAGGGGTTACTGCAAAAAGCACAAAAAAGCCACACCCACCTAGTCACGTGGCCACGCCCCCTAGCCACACCCACAGAACCGGTAGTAAAAACATTTAAATCCCACCACTGATCTGAATTTTGATCACATGACCCTGGGGATGCTACAAAAGTTGTAACTGTGAAAAACTGTCATAAGTCACTTTTTTCAGTGCTGTTGTAACTCTGAACAGTCACTAAATGAAGCATTGTAAATCGAGGACTACCTGAAATGGTCAGTTTGTTCTGAAAACTTTGCACACAAAAGTTGTAGAACAGATTCCTAACGTTTTCACTTGGGAAGATTTTTTCCCCAAGACAAAAATAGAATTTTGAAAAAAATGAAATAGCACATTTTCTAAAATACCTGCAGTTATTTTTTTAAAAAATATGTTTTTTAAACATATTCTAAAGCCGAGTGCAATTATAGAAATTATAGCAATTATAGAAGATAAAACACTTCAAATAGAAAACCAAGCTGCATTTGATATGCAAACACTCTTGTATGTTTGTCACTGGGTTTCAAATGACAAGAGTTTGTTGGTTATTCTCTTTTAGCCTCAATAATATGAATGCAGCTTATTGAATGAGTTGTTCATCCTTTAGAGGGCTGCAATAACTTTTATTGTTATTGGGACATGGTGGCTCAGTGGCTAAGACACTGAGCTTGTCGATCAGAAAGGTCGGCAGTTCGGCAGTTTGAATCCCGAGCGCCACGTAACGGAGTGAGCTTCCGTTACTTGTCCCAGCTTCTGCCAACCAAGCAGTTCAAAAGCATGTAAAAAATGCAAGTAGAAAAATAGGGACCCCTTTGGTGGGAAAGGGAACAGCATTCCGTGAGCCTTCGGCGTTTAGTCCTGCCGGCCACATGACCACGGAGACGTCTTCGGACAGCGCTGGCTCTTCGGCTTAGTAACGGAGATGAGCACCATCCCCTAGATCCGGAAACGACTAGCACGTATGTGCGAGGGGAACCTTTACCTTTACCTTAATAACTTTTGAGATACTATTTTAAAACCTCCATAGAGAAGAGTCAATGATCCCTTATCTTCAGATAATTGACAATTTAAATATTGCAAGTTTCTCATTTGCTGAGTCTATGAGTAGCTAGGGACTCCTTTGAGTATAAATAACCAATGTGATTCTAGATTGACTGAAATTAGTCATTTATAACTATTGTGAGCTACTTTATAATACACTCCTTGCTACAGGACTATGAAATCTAGACAACTAGGCCTACACATTAACACATACAAGCATAAGGATGTTTTTAACATTTTCTCCTGAAAAAGTACTTGAAAATCGACTGGAAAATTCCATCCAAAGGGGAAAAAAGTGTATTTTATTTTTCAGTTTTAAAAGTTGGAGCAATAAAGATGGTCTAGAATAAGTCATCTGTAAGAAGCTAATGAAGTGGTCATTGACAATTTTTGAGAATTCAAGCTTATTTTCCTTAACTTTAAACTGTCCTTTTTGTATGTTTGCCTAAAGAATGACAAAAAAAATGGCTTTAATGTTTGATGTTCGTTTCTGAAATATTTGAATGACAATACAGGTAAATCTTGTACTGGTTTTTTTTTCTTACTGAAGCTTGTACATTATAGAGCTAAAAATGCTATTCGAACTCTTGTTTGCCAAATGTGTGTGTTGGATTGTTAGTAATGAAACACATCTTGACAAAACTAGGGTCTGACTGAATCTTCACTGACTTGAAAAATGTTTATGAAAGGATAAACAATAATAATGGCAAATACCTTAATAATTTGATTGAAGTAACATTTATTATGAGCTTTCAGAATTTATTGTCAAATAAATAGAATAGAATAGAATAGAATAGAATAGAATAGAATAGAAGGGGGGATTAGAATTAGAACTAGAATTAGGGTTAGAATTAGAATTAGAATTGAGCTGGAAGGGACCTTGGAGGTCTTCTAGTCCAGCCCCCTGCTCAATTATATTATTTCAGACGTGGCTGTCTCTCTCTTCTTAAAAATGACTTAAAAGTGATGGAGCGCCCACGATTTCTGAAGGCAAGCTATAATGGAAGGCACTTGATATACCAGTGTAAACATTATTTTAAAAAATAATTAAGAGTCAAGACATTATGAGGATAATTTCCTTGCAATGCTACTGAATTACATAACCACATTCAACTAATTCTTTCCATTGCTTTGATCTAAAATTTAAGTTTATCTTTTATTATCTTTGGCGTTCTGCTGGGGATATTCTAAGCCGAATATCAGTTTTATAGCACTTAACACTTAGACTTATATATGTAGACCTCGGAAGGATGGAAGGCTGAGTTGACTTTGAGCTGGTCAAGATTGAACTGCTGGCAGTGGGCAGAATCAGTTTGCAATATGGCATTCTAATCATTGTGCCGCCAGGAAGGAGAATAGGAAAGGGAAGGAAGGAAGGAAGGAAGGAAGGAAGGAAGGAAGGAAGGAAGGAAGGAAGGAAGGAAGGAAGGAAGGAAGGAAGGAAGGAAGGA